CGCTCCTCTCTCTCGCCATCCACACTCTCACAAGGGTAAAAAGACTGCTCCCAGGCTGGAAAGGAGCTCCATGCCGCAAGCCGCTTGCCCTCCAGCCTTCCACGGGAAAATCCTCCTCTGCTCCCAGGGAGCAAGAAGGCTGAGACCGGCACCCTCCTTACAGGGCCTGGTCCGCCTGACTAGTCACACTGCCCTTAGGTGGCAAAAGGGGAAGACCCAGAACCTGCTTACAGAGGGGGCCCTCAGCCAGCCAAATCAGAGCTATCACCAAAGGCACAGCGAGAGAGCTGGACCCTGCTTACAGGGTGGTCCATAGCTCTGCAGAGCCTCGCCCTCCACCGGGGCACGGGACTTGCACCCTCCGGCCTGGTCCGCCTGACTAGTCACACTGCCCTTAGGTGGCAAAAGGGGAAGACCCAGAACCTGCTTACAGAGGGGGCCCTCAGCCAGCCAAATCAGAGCTATCACCAAAGGCACAGCGAGAGAGCTGGACCCTGCTTACAGGGTGGTCCATAGCTCTGCAGAGCCTCGCCCTCCACCGGGGCACGGGACTTGCACCCTCCTTACAGGGCGGCTGAGCCGTCCAGATGTGGAGTGCCAGGCACAGATGCAGGAAGGAGGACCGGTGCCTGGACACAGGGATCGGAGAGGAGGCCACGAGCTTCAACCCAGCCACGGGAAGGTCGTCCAGCTCTGGGGTCTAAGGAGTTTGCCGTCACCCCACGAGACTCAGCTCCTGTCTGCAAGGTCGCCCAGCAGAAGAAGGCTACGCCCGCCCTGCTGACCGGGGCACCTCTCCGACTGGCTGCCTATGGCAGTGGACCTGGCCTCCCAGTACAGGACATCCAGCGCTACACACGTCCAAACCCCCTGTCCTTCTCCCAGGATAGCAGGCACCACACACCCTGCTTACAGGAGCCTGCGCCGTCCGCAGCCGCGTCTGGCAGCTGGCCTGGCCCCGCTTACCGGGCGGCTGCGCTGCGCAAGACCGCCAACCAGACCCACGGCTTTACGAACGAGGTGGCGGCGACACACGCCTTGCTTACAGGGCTGCCCGCCTGCCACCTGCCTGCTGCACGAGTGCAACACCATCGAGGGCAGAGGCATGTTTCCGGGTCGCTCTATGGAGGCTCGCCCAAAGGAAGTGTGTGACGTGTGGAGCTGAGATTTGGCTAATACGTAAGTTTCATGGAGCTGAGATTTGGGCAACACGTGATGGAGCCCTAGGGGCAGGGAGGCTGCTCTGTGCAGGGTCCCTTCCCTTCGCGTCCCGTCTCTCCGGCTGGTTTTTCTCCGTCCTCGCCTCTCTCCCGCTGCTCCCCCGTCCGCGTCTCCTGCCGGCGCGTCCGAGGCCTGCGAGGACAGTGACCGAGCCCGGCTGTACGCGGCCAGGGCCGGAGCACGCGTCCAGCAGCCGCAACTTCCCTCCTCTCAGCCCTGGCGTTCGGGGGTGTCACGCGCTCGGGCTCCTCTGCAAACCTGCAGCCTCCCCCGACCCACGGCAGCACCTCTGCTCCGCCGCGCAGCGCAACCCGAGGTGATGTAGTGAGCAGGTTTGTTATTACCCCCCCCCCGCCACACCACTGTATCCGGCCCGCGGGCGCCCAGGAAATTTAGGAAATGAATATTGCCGTGCCCCGGGCGGCCCTCCGCCGCTTCCCACAGCTCCGTGAGCGCCCCCCCGCAACCGCTCGCCCCGGAGACGGGCAGGACCCGGGCCTGGCTCGCAGGAGCACGGAGGGACGTCACCACAGCGACCGGGCTGCCCCCGAAGGGACCCGCTCCCGGCTGTTGGGCTGCGGTCGCACGGCCCGGC